AGGAATGTCCCCGAATACAAGGTATATATACAAGGAAGCTGTTTGCTTCCACAGAACTGAGATTCACTCAGCCAGCTTTGCAACACTTGCTGGGTTTAGGGTTTCTTCTTTTCTGTACTGATTTCAGCTGTTTTGTATACAGTGTTAAGGATCTACTTAGGAGCAACCCACTTTTAAAAAAATTTACTTTTTCTTTTTTTTTTTTTTAAATATCAGACAGCTTTAGAGAAAAAAAAATAGTAGAACTGAGAGTATTATCTGGATCAAAGGAGTAAGGCCCAAAAGAAATATGTTAAATAAAAAGTCTAAGCTTTTCTTTAATATTAAGAATTATGCATTTCCCCTTTTGATGTTCAGGTTAATCCCAGAACGTCAGTCTTGGAGACCAAAGTCTAGGAAAAATGTAGCATTACAAGTATAGCAAAGAGGGAAGAAACACTAACTCCTCTGTACCAGCTTTTAGAGTAAAACTGTGTCATGGACCACTTCCTACCTGCTGACAAGGGCTCTCCAGAACCGTTAAAGCAAACGCAGGTACAGACCTTGAATGCTCTCTAGGAGTGGAATAGTTCCTAAGATTTTAGCTCTGTTTTTCTCAATGCCAGTCTAGAAGCAAACCGAGTGTTGTGCTGCATGGTTTGGGAGGTGTGTGCTGCTGGAAACTCTGCTGGGGTGCAGAGGTGTTTGCAGTCTGCAGCAGGAGCCTCAATTACACCCAGTGGAGAATAAGGCACTTCTGACATCAACACAGAAAACATTCACTTGCATTAAGCAACTGGATTGTCAGCTACTGTTTTTATGTCCAGTTTAAGAAATACCACAAAGGTCATGCTGCTCCAGAAACATGTTGCAAAATCAAATTCTTGTTACTAGTAGTTTGTACTCTGACGCTTCACTTAGAGGCTGTTCCTTATTCCGTGCTGCTGTTTAGGAGATGGACTGAGGGGAGAGATTTATTCTGCTCCCATACCTGCTGAAACATGGGCTGCTCTGAGATCTGGCATGTTCCTCACTCACAGAAGGAGGTTATACAGTGTGCCAGGCAGAGGGACTACGTGCTGCTCTACAGGGAAGACAAAGCTGCACTTACTGGGCTTGCTTTATTCATTCATTTATTTATTTAAAGCTTACATTCCCTGTAGCATTCACCTCAGTATATGCCCCAGGGACCAAGCAGTGCAGGCACACTGCATCTTTTCTCTGTGCTCGTTCTGATTAGGATAGCAAAGGGGATACACATCACCTTGATTAGCCTAGATGTTTAGCTGGTGGTAAAAGTCTAAAGGCGTTGGTGTTCAACCTCTTTGCCTTCTGTAATAAGACCCTCACCCAGCAAGCACAAGCTTCAAGACAACTGGATTTTGGGTTTGTTCTTAATTGCATATTTTTCTGGATCCCATTGAAGTAGCTCATGGGTGTGCACAAGTTACACTCTCAAAAGTTATTTCATTAATTAAGTATATTGGATTAAACTAAACCAAGACTAATTGCTTTTAATGCTACACTACTGGGCTGTGCTCTGAAGGGAGGGAAGAAACAGATTTTTCAGAAACAAGGGCCTTCTGTTTCCTTTTTGTTGTTATTTGAGATACCAAGATAAGCTATCTCACTTTTTGCAGGTGTATAGAAGAGTGGTTTCAGGACAAATGCTGCTGCTAATGGCCACTAGTTGGCATTATTGATACATCCCAGTAGGGAGGTGGTGCAATAAAAACAGAGGCAGACAGCACTCAGGGAGCTGAGGTGGCTGCCCTGTGCTCACCTCGCAGCCTTCTTCGGCTCTGAGGTTGGTGGGTTACACTGAATTACAGCTCGGACAAAGAAGGCTGGAACCAGGTAACCCTTCCCAAGCAGAAGAGGTGACAAGCGCTTTTTTTTTTTGGTCACCACCCTGCCCCAGAGGAACTTACTTTGGTTGAAGATTCCTCACAGGGTTTTGGTCATCACAGATGTTACGTAGTGTTTGGGCCAAAACCCAAAACCCATTAGTGCTGAAGGTCTGCAGCACTAATAATTACAGTTTGTGAATGAAGCAATAATTTACCAGTAACTCTCACAGAAACACTTTGAGAACACAGAGTTGCTGTGAGCCAGCTCATCTTGTGCAACCAATGGGTGTGTATATATTTTTGAAAGAGCCTTTTGTTATGGAGCTTGGTGGAATTAGACTTGCCTTAATCTGCTTTGACTGGGAGTAGATTTATGCCAGGAGACCTGATAAATAAGATGTTACTGATGAAACAAGTATGAGCTGAGGTATCAGAGTGTTGCCTGAAATGGATTTTGCTTGGTAAAAAGGAGAGCAAGTCAGCAATTCAACCTTCAGGAGAAGAGAGACTTCGGAATAGAAGAGAAAAAAAAATTCCATGCCCTCTTTAGGGAAAAAACCAAACACAAACACATTAAATTGTTTTATAGAATACTTTTCATTCATATGTACAGACTAATCTCCAATTAAATCCATTCCAAAATGGTTATTGAATAGCAAGGATAAAGGTGCTGCCTGTCCATGCCTGCATGTGGTTTAGGGACCTAATACAACACAGAAGAACTACAGTGAGACAAATCCACTTTTGGTTTGAAATCTTTTTTACTCTCAACATTTTAAAGGGAATGGCAGACAACTGTGATGACAAATCTAATTTTCTGGATTATCGACTTCTCAGATTTGCATTACCATCTGCTTGTTGAAAGACAAGATGCATTTTGCAGTAGTTGTGGACTCTCCTGTGAGATTAAAAAATGAGTGGCTTTCTGGGCTCCCTGGAAGGGATGAGAACGCAAAGCTCCATCGATTGGATCCACTTTGGAAAGCTGAGCTGCGGGTCCTCCTCACAGCCACTGAATGTGCAAAGAGCTTTCGTGGGTTCAGGATCTCTGAGCACCAAGTGGTTTTCAATGAGAAGATACTTAAAAGCATCTGCCTAAGGTTTAGGTATAACTGAGGTCGAAGGCTTGAAGAACAGGGAATCATCTCCCTGCTTGTTTAAAACACATGGCCTGATTTCATAAATTCTCACCTGCATAAAGTGCTTTGTTAAATGAGGGAGCAGGTGTGCTTGGGAGTGAGTTTCTGCTCAGGGGGCAGGTGAATTTTTACCTTTATTGGGGTATTTCTGTCACTACTTGGCATCTGATTTTGTTTTATGGGTTCTACTTCCAAATTTCACTCTGGCTGCATAGATTCAATCTATGGTGTAAAACAAGAGTCTTTGGAGTAGAAACCTGCATAGATGATTCTCAGCGAAACCCTTCCTTTACTTGACGGTGGGAGAAATATTAGAATAATATAGAGCAATTCCCTTCCTGCATCCTTGTGGGCTGATTAACATGATTTCATACTGCACCTGACCCATGCTATTCAATACAATTAAAACATATAAATTATAGACTTCCAATTTGCATAATATACTTTAGAAAGACCATATTAGACCATGTTGTTTTACTGCGTATTTATTGGAGCAGCCACAGTACTAAAAACATCCTAATCTCAAAATCATGGGCAAAATTGCTCACTTGTATTTTAGAAGATGGTGACTTCAGTGGGAATGGGAAAGCAGAAATATTTATTTAAAAAGTAGAAACCTGAGAAGTTTCCCAGTGAACATTGGTAATAACTCGGTGATGTTACCAGCAATCGCACGGTTTTGCCCACTTTTTGTTTTGGCATCGTGCTGCTTACCCGCTTCCCCCCGCTGGCCTCGACCGAGGGGCTCTTGGCACCGCAATATGGTGCAACCTACAACCAAAATCCCTCCTTGGGTGCCCCTGCCTGCTCCAGGCCAGGTAAGAGGAACACGGATGACGGATCTCTGTTGTGAGTAACTGCTCACGTTTCCCTTCTCGCTGCCTGCCGCTCACGGCATGCACATGACCAAAAAGCTTCTGTTCTCCCATGCCTGTGCCCTGGAGCCGAGGGCTGGCAGGACGGGGGCGAAGGGTGAGGGATACCTGCCCATGCGGATACGGGGTGGCCTCAGCAGTGGTGGGAGGCCGAGGGAGATCTTGGTCATTCCTCCCTCTGCAGCTCCATAAGAGGGATGCGGTTGATTGTAAGCGAAGGCTGCGAGGCTGCTTTCGGACAACGCTCTCAGGCTGGAGTGCGATTCTTGTGGGATTCTTGGGCAGGGCCAGGAGTTGGACTCGGTGGTCCTGATGACGCCTTTCCCATTCAGGATATTCTGTTATCCCGCGAAGCCCACAGGGGCAGGCTTGAACGATAGGCATGAGGCAGCACTACCGCCCACGGTTCCCACCCGGGATGTCCCGGGCAGCGGCAGAGGGCCCTCACGGCCAGGCTCCTCCCGCCGCCCTGACGGGAAGCGCGGCCCCGCCCGGCGCGGCCCCGCCCGTGGGGGCGGACCCGGTATAAGCACGGCCGGGGCCCCGCGCCCCCAGAGCCGCTGCGCCGCCCGCCCAGCCCTGGCCGTGGCCGCTCCCGCTCCTCCGCCCGCTGCTCCCCGCCGTCCGCCCCGCCGCACCGCCATGATCGTGGAGAGCAGCCGGGATGCGGCGCCCGATGGCGGCGACGGCGGCACCCTCAGCAGCCCCATCAACCTCGCCTACTTCTACGGGGCCTCGCCCCACTCCAGCGAGGGCAGCTGCTCGCCGGCGCACTCCTCTGCCCCGGGCTCGCCGGGATCCGACTCGGACCTCTCGGTGAGCAGCCGCGGCGGCGGCCGGAGGGACCCCCGGGGCGGCCCCCGCCCCGCGCTGCAAGGTACGGCGGGTCCCCGCCCGGCCCCGGCCCGGCGGGTGGTGGGGAGGGCGCGGGGCCGCGCGTCCCGCTCCGGCCCCACGGGGCGTGCGAGCGGCCGGAGCGGGGAGAAGCGGGCGCGTTCGGCCGGCGCTCCGTGCCCGGTGCCGGGGTGTTTCCGTCCGTGGAGCGGGAGCGCTCCCCGGGACAGGGGGGGGAGCCGCACACCCGTGAGATGGCCGAGGGGTATGTGGGAAAGCTCCCTGGCTCCTCTCTGCTAAACCAGGATTTAGGTGCCTTCCCACAGGAGTTAGTTTGGGGTTATTTTTTCTTTATTTACTATTTGTTAAAGGTCAGCGAAAAGGGTGGCTTAAGTTCGGGTTTTGTTTTCATGTCTTCACAGTTGAACAACACATGGCGGGGGGAAAGCAGCACAGAGGACCTTTCCAGGGGGTCCGCGTGAAGAATTCCGTGAAGGAGCTCCTGCTGCACTTCAGGAGCAGCAAGCAGATGTCCTCGGGTCCTGCCACCGAGGAAAGCAAGGTAACCAGCAGCTTTCTGCGCTGACAGGTTTGATTTTAATGGTTACCGAAGCTGGCAAGAAAGCACCTTGTGGTAATGCTAGAAATGAGCTTCTACTTTATCTGCCGTGGAAGGAGTCAGTGTTTTTCCTTTTCAACGCATAATGGAAAAATACAGCTGGGAAGAAATCAGAAAGAAGGTTTACCTTGAGAGGAGGAGGCACTTAAAAACGTTCTTACTGAGCTTTATTTTCCAAAGGGAGTCTGGATAAAGATACTTTTGTGTTGCGAAACCACAGAAATTCCGTGTTGACTGGAATGAGATCATTCATTGGAAGAGTTAGGGATTTTTCTCAGATTTGTTTGTCATGCTATTGTGCCTCTCTGTGCAAAGCACACAGTGCAAAAGTAGGCCCTTTCAGTCAGAAAAGACAAAAATTGCAGGAAATTCTGAGAAAATTAAAGGGTGTTTTTGATTTCATTAGTTTATTTTTTCTGAGTATGTGTTTGTAAGCTTCCAAGATAAGTGTTGTCAGAGGAAGATATTTGCATAGAGAAGTTCACAGCACTAAAGCGTAAAATTGGCTGGGTTATTTGTGTTTCAAAAAAATCCTCTGGAACGGAATAGTGTCTTTCTCTAGATTTTCTTGAGTTTTGTGGTATTATAACAAATGGCTTGAAAAGTCTAAAGAAATAGAGTGTGTTTTATTTAAGTTTAAATAAAGTATTTCCATTTTCCAACTGTAATTAAAAGTGATTAAGTTAGGGTTAGAGAACCACGTACTAGAGTTATTCTAAGGTATATTCTGTGTTTATAGGAGGAAATAATGGCTGCTTTCTTGTTTGTTTTTTTGAGGGTGGATTATTTTTTATTTGTTTGTTTCCTCCAGAATAACATTATAATAACAAAAAAATTTGGTCTTTTCTTAACAGGCACAAGGAGGATTGGTGAACTACGAACCATACACAGGTATACCATTTTTTATACATACCCTGCAGTAACATTTTAAGTCAATTGTAAGAGTAACCTTGAAGTGGATTCTAAATTTATTTTCTTTTTATCAGAACTGAAGAGCATACTGGGCCACAGTGGCAAAAGAAAGGCTCCTGAACTCCTTTCTGATGGACCTTCTTTCAAACGCCAAGCAAATGTTCACCCACATCTCCTGGTAAGTTTGTAGTATTTTTTTCTGTGCCTTTATTTTTCAGTTTGCTTTGTAAAATCAGAAACTACCAGATCCAACTATACCTCTAATTTTCTAGGACTTCTTTTGATTTGCCTTTTTTTTTTCCTTTTTTCCTCCTGTCAGACCCCACCCCAGACACCAACTTCTATGGATAGCATGGAGGAGACACATAAAACTGACCCAAAGCACGACAGCAGTTCTGATCTGCTTCAGAACATTATAAACATCAAGAACGAGTCGAGCCCCATTTCCCTGAACACGGTGCAGGTGAGCTGGCTGCACTCAGTCTCCAGCCACGGCTCGCCCACTGAGCAGTACCAGGACAGCCCGGGAACACAGGCCTTCTCCCCATCCCAGAAGTACCAAGCATTCCAAGACCACACCAGCCAGCATATGCTTGATCCTCCACAGCATTACCAGTTCCCAGCGTCCCAGAACCAAGATTTGTCACAGAGCTATCCTTCAGATGCCTCCCTGGACTACAGGCCATTTGTTGCCAGTGACCAGTCTCCTGCCTACCAGCAGAACACCTTTGAGAGCCATGAGCTGCAGTACTGCCCGTCACAGAGCTTCTCTTCCCTCTTGAACGACTCAGAAGGCTCGGACAACATCTCCAGTCCCCTCCAGCTGAGCAGTGCCCAGCCGCAGGCCGAGGTTGCCCCTCACACCCCTAACTTCAGCTTGCTCTCCAGCAACCTCTGTGGTGGTCTGGAGCGCAGTGTCTCTTTGGCTGCTCTGAATGTCTCTCTGCCTGACCAAAACATTGCCAAAAGCACGACACAGCTGGGCAAGTCATTTTTCCAATGGCAAGTGGAACAGGAGGAGAGCAAACTGGCTAACATCTCTCAAGACCAGTTCCTTGCAAAAGACGCTGATGGAGACACGTGAGTACCTTTTATCTTGGTGTTTCTTCAGTGGGGAATGTTTCTGTTTGGGTTTTGGCAGACCGAGGGTTATAGTGAAGTGGTTCAATAGCAGTGTTTGTGTCACAAGTGCAGTGGTTTGACTGATCAAGTGAAAGGTGTGGTCTTGCTGATGGCTGTGATGCAGAGCTCCAGCACACTTGAGTAGATGTATTTTCTAATTTCGGGTGCCTATAGTTAGACTTGGCTAAAAGGGCAAGGAAAACATTCTAATTTAGATGCTTTAAATTGCCCTGGTAAGAAAATACCCATGCTCCTGTCTTGGTTACACAGAGAAGATCTGAAGCTGGCAGCATAACACCCCTTCTATACATTTGGTTCTCTGCTGTCTTGAGCCTTGGTTTATGTCAGGTGGTGTAACTCTGTTCCCCCTCTTTCCTGTAGCTTCCTCCACATCGCTGTGGCCCAGGGCCGTCGAGCACTCTCGTATGTTCTTGCAAGGAAGATGGCTGCCCTGCACATGCTGGATATTAAAGAGCACAATGGTCAGGTGAGGTTCTGGAAAAAATTCTTTGCACCTGCTTTGTGCACCTGAGTGCTTCTGCATGTCTGAACCTTGGGAAAGATGTGGTGAAATGCTTATTTAATATTAACCCCAAGATTTAGCCTGCATACTAATATTAACCTTGAGCTATTAATACTCCTTGGGATCACCTTGAGCTGGTAAAACTATGTGCTCTGCTTCATTTGTCCTGGCTTCCTAGTATTCATAATCACTGCTTAAATAATACCAGGTAGCTAGGGTTTTTATTTGTTTTAGTTGCTCTTTCCTGTTAGAGATCAGATGACTAATAGCTTAAATTTCTTCTTGATGTTTGCAGAGTGCTTTCCAGGTTGCTGTGGCTGCCAATCAGCATCTCATTGTACAGGACTTGGTTAGCTTGGGGGCTCAAGTGAACACCACAGACTGCTGGGGTAGGACGCCGCTGCATGTCTGCGCTGAGAAGGGGCATGCCCAGGTCCTCCAGGTAAGAGCCAGGCAGGCACTGCTCTGCCCCGGCCCTTGACTCTTACCCTTGGCATTAGCTGTGCTGGGAAACTCTGGAAACACCACTTCTTCCTTTATCTTCCTCTCTGGGCAGCCTTGTGAGTCTGTCTACACATAGAGCTTAAAGTGGGAAGGAATTTCTCATTAAGGTTTGCATCTATTTTTGAGTAATTTTGGGGGAATCCTCTCGTTTACCAAACCAAAACAGTAAGTCTCCTGTTTATCATAGGATCATCAAAGGACTTCAAAGATTTTCTAGTTCCACCCCCCCCTACTGTGCTCAGGGACACCTTTCACTAGACTAGGTTGCTCAGAGGCCCATTCACCTTGGCCTTGAACACTTTCCAGGGATGCTATTACTTATTGCAACTTTATTACAGTTATTGCAGTAAGACAATAAACAAGTTTGAAGCAGTATGTGGTTTGGACCTAAATGTGTACCTGTTCCCACTTTTGTAGGCAATCCAAAAGGGAGCCATGGGAAGCCATCAGTATGTGGACCTTGAGGCAACGAACTATGATGGTGAGTAGTTAAAGGTTTATAATTTTAAGATTTACTGGATAGTACCATGTTTTACAGCTGCTAATGGGAATGCAATAAAGTGCAATATTTCTTTTTCAGATGGAAATTTACAGATATAATTCACATATCTGTCAGATGAAAATGTGGTTAGTCTGTGTCTGTCAGGACTTCTTTCTTCTTACATGTGATTGCTGTGTTTGGCATGGAGACTGTAGGCTGTAACTGGCCATTGTTTAAAACATTGGAGTGCCAGTGCTATGTCAGTGGATACAGAAGCCAGATCCTGTTTTATTTGGACCTCTTTTCCATAAAATAGCTCTTTCTAATGTATATTTCATAAAAAATATATTAGAAATTGATTCTTTCATCATCTGCTGCCTTAGAGCTCACAGTAGGCTGCTACTTCACTCTTCTGCTGATGGGCAGTCCAGATCTCAAGCTGCTTGTCACCTACAAGTACAGAACCATCCCTGGGCTTAATGGAGATGGAAGCTCCTTTATCCAACCTCTGAAACAAGCAGGCATTCAGTACTTCTATATTGCATTTTTTCATTCATGAGGTGTTTTTTTTCTTTTAATCAGGTTTGACAGCTTTACACTGTGCAGTTCTGGCCCATAATGCTGTGCTGCATGAGCTGCAGAACTGTCAGCCGCCTCACTCCCCTGAGGTCCAGGAGCTTCTGCTGAGAAACAAGAGCCTGGTAGAAACCATCAAGATCCTGATACAAATGGGAGCCTCTGTTGAAGCGAAAGTAAGTAAATGCCTTAGTCTGAAGTGCCAGATCCAGAGAGAATGTGGAAGCAGAATATGTCCCTTTCTCCCACGCAGCATTTGTTGCAAAGGAAGTAGACTAATTTGAAAGCTTCCCTACAGCTTAATTTACCCAGATGCTATGAGAATGCTGCATTTATTCAGAGCAAGCTATTTTCAATGCAAATGAACCCTGGGGAAAGAGGGAGGTGAAAGTCTAATCTCTAGACTAAGAATGATGTTACGTTGGCTGCAGTGAGTAGTGTTGTAGAAGTAAGAATATGTTTGGAGCACTCTGAGGTACCCATAGGAGTAGAGTGCTGATGACACCTTGTTCTTGAACTGCAAATTTTAATTAAAAACTGCGTACCTGTGCAGTTCAGGTCTGTGCTGTGCCAGACCATTACTTAGCCAAAATATCAAATACTTCATTATGCAAGCTTACCTGTAGATGAGATCAGGTTCCATTGTTCCTTAGATGTTGATACTAAAATATGTATATTCAGATTCACTTTTGATGAATTGTAGTGCAAGTATGTTTGCTCAACACTCTGCAGTTATTTCCCTTTCTATTTTTATTTGTCTGCATGTTCCCCCTGGATAGGTGAAGCACCTGCAGGGAAGACTAAACAGTTTCTTTTTTGATAGGATCGCAAAAGTGGTCGCTCCGCTTTACATTTGGCAGCCGAAGAAGCAAACCTGGAGCTCATTCGTCTCTTTTTGGAGCTGCCCAATTATCTCTCTTTTGTTAATGCAAAGGTATGGTGATTTTTTTCATAATGCAGATGGAGAAAGAGAGGCTCATGCCCCTACTTTTCCTTCATGGAGTTGCTTTGTGGTCCCCAGGCTTACAACGGCAACACAGCCTTGCACGTGGCTGCCAGCCTGCAGTACCGCATGAGCCAGCTGGATGCTGTGCGCCTGCTCATGCGCAAGGGAGCCGATCCCAGTGCCAGGAACTTGGAGAATGAGCAGCCAGTTCATCTCGTTCCTGACGGCCTTGTAGGGGAACAGGTAAAAAATTCACAACAGCCCTCTCCCTCCGTCTGTCCCTGTCCACACAAAAGCTGTATTCCACTCCAGAAGTTTCTTTGAGGTTTTGAGTTGCAGCTTTCAAGGAAAAGATTTAGCAGGTACCATTTTATTCTTTAGAATTTTAGCTTCAACGTCAAGATCAGGCAGAATATAAGATCAGGCAGACCTGAAATTTTAGATTTCACATGCAGCTTTTATTTTTTTCATCCTAAAAGCTTTTACCTATCAAGATAGGCTTTGTCTCTGTAATGCTGGAACGTACTGGAGGCAATACTCCTTCTCTTGCTCCTCTCATTATGGCCTGAGTTCATGCTTTTATTGCTCTTGTCAGAATTAGTAGTGACAGTTCTTAGGCCTTAGTAACAGATGAAGAAAATGCCTTTTTCCTGCTTGATGAAAAAACTGACTCTTGACCTAAGACTAGTAACTTAAGCACAGCTGAGTTGCTGACTGTTGCCTTTCGTTGGTTCAGGTGCTGTAAAGTGGGATCATTTCTGGTGTAACTGAACTCAGGAGCTAGGCTTGGATAAATGGATGCAAAACTGGGTCTAGGGTGGGGATTTTTCAGATTGTGACTCACTTCAAGATGATGAACACTGTTTTTGCCCTTCTCTCTTCTCCAGATAAGACGTATCCTCAAAGGGAAGGCGATTCAGCAGAGAGTGTCGCCATTTTAGGCTCCATGTTTCTTGGAGTTCAGCAACTTACACTCACTGTCAGTCAGGCAGTCCTAATGAATCTGTAAATAGAGCATTTGCCTGGTGTGGGCAAATGTTAGTTGTTTCTATGAAACAAAAGTATTTTGTTCACTATTATATAGTGGGTTATATAAGAGTAAAAAAAACCCAAACCCAGCAATCAAATTCCTCCAACCAAAAGGAAATGCTTCATTCCCAAGTATGTGGAACATTTTCCCAGCTACCTGTATTTCATAGCTATGGTGAGACTGATATTGCTTAAACAGCCATACAGATAACTTGTAGACAAGGGCAATTCTATGGGATTTTTTTTTTTTTTAAATTTCAGAGAGGGCTGATGCAGGTCAAAATTGCAGAGATTGTTGTTGTGTTTTTAGTAACACTTAAATGCAAGAGAAATATTTTTGAAGTTGAACATTTATTTATGTAACTTTGTGGCTTTGTTCCAGTATCCTGTGCAGGATTGTATATAGTCACTGACATTATTGTACAGCTGTATAGTTGTAAGAATCTACTGATCATTTGGGGAAGGATCTGAAGAAACAAGTTCCTTGATGTTGAATTTGAAAATTGCATACAGAGTTTTAATACTATACTGGTGCAAATCGGGTAAATTCTGTTGTTCTGAAAGACTGAGAATGGAAAGTAGAGTTAAGATAGATTGTCCCTGGCATTGATTTGTGTATACTTTTGGAGTTGTTAATAAAACATGAAAAGCTGGGTTTCTTCAGGGGATTGTGTCAGTTTTTCTTGTACCCAGTAGGGGTTTTTCTTGTGATAGAGCAATAGATTGAGAGAGGAGGATCATGATTTTTGTATATGTATGTAACTTGTACTTTAAAGGATATGATCCTGATTCATTGCAAGTGTTTGGCATGCACTTCACTGTTGATGCATGCTGAAATCTCTCAATGTTAATTATAATACTTCAATATGTGTAAGCCTCACTAGTGTTGGTGGGGCTTAAGCACATGCATAAGTATCTTGCTGAATTGGGCTCTAGTTAGTTCTAGAGACTGAATGTTTTCCACCTCCTAAGCAGAGTTAGTCCATTTATGGTTTTACCTTATAGGTATAGTGGCTAGCAAAGTAATATTTGAAGTTAAGTTTTTCTATTTTTTAATAATTATTAATGGGAAATGTATACTAATGATGCTGTATACTCGTGTTCTGTTGGAGAAAACTTCCTCATATCACTTCTGAATGATCCATGCTGGGCTGTAATCCAGAAATATGTTCTCTGTATGGTCTTTGCTCTTACACTGTTTCTTCATCACATGCAGTTCTCTGTTATAACCATTTAATTAGTCTGATTATGCTGTTTTGGCAAAGTATGTCTTGTAGACAAGCTAAATGAAAAATCTGATATGCGAAGGCTTAGTTGCAATGTATTTCTTGAAGAGTTATGTGTAACTTGTGTTTGAATAAACATGTTAATTCAGTTTTGGTGGTTACTGTGTGTGATACAAATAATGACAAAGAAGTCAAGCTTGAGGTAAAACTGATTTAGCATGGTAATAGTGTGAGGCTGAAAAGCCATTTGCTAAGATGAAATGAGTCTTACCATCCTGCTGTTTATGCTTTCTCTGGTTTGATGCTGACTACTGTTCTGGGTCATGCACTGTGTGGTTGTGTTGTCTCTGAATTTACTAAGTGTGCCCCAAATTGAGTTGGTAGTCACCAGGTTTGAACCTGAACATTTGTCCCTGCATACTCGAAAGAATGATAGCAGTTCTGACAATGTTACGTTCTCCCCAAGACTTCCCTGCCTTGGTCCCCAGTTCCAGCAGCTCAGGCACAAGTGTCACCCTAGCACAGGTGGCAGTCTTTGTTAGGAAATAGGGCCGTAGGTGTGGGAATGGGCTGTCTGCCTCACTGATGGTGATAAGATGGTTCTGGGCTGGCAGTGACTCTTCAGGGGGATGAGCTATCATCACAGCCTGTCCCAGCTCAGCATGGAGCTGGAGAGATGGCAGTAGTTGAGATAAAAGTGGATTAAGATCTGTAGGAAAGGAAGAAAACCAAGAGGGCTTCCATGTAACTGTATGAACCTGCTGTCCACCCTGCCTTACTGCTGCTTGTGGTGAGGGTGAAAGTGCGGGAATTGAAAGAAGCCCAGAGAGGTGTGGAGGAGCCTGACAGGGAGCAGCAGAGTAAAGGAGGACAGTCCTGCAGAGCCATGACAATCTAAAGGGCCTGAGTGGGGATGAACTCACTCTCCCTCCCAGTATGAGAGCTGGAAGCTATTGATCAAGGTACCACACACACAGCAGGCAACAGGAAACAATTGAATTTCTTGGGATATGCAAAGATGAAATGGCACCTCTTTATGTGAACAGCTAATTGTGTGTTGAAGATGCTGTCATCTGCACCTCTCACTGCAAGTGACCCTGCCTTGGGCATATGTTTTTTATTTGTGCAAGGAGCCTGATAGTACAATTTCCAGTTAATTTTAATTTTCTTTATAAGAGATTATTAGGGGAAAAAGGTGCTGATGAGGTGTTCTGGCCCTCCAGATCAGCCTGATCTGACTGCCTGGCATTCCTTTCTGGGTGGCATTGACTGAGTCATCTCACATAGGGATTAAATACCCTAGGCTTGAAAGGTTGGCAGAGCACTGGCATGTATTCAGCCAATGCTTGAGCATGAAGTAGGTGAGAGGCATTTAGCAAGCAGTATGGTGCTTTCTGTGGCACCTGTGCCCTTCTGGAAGGAGCAGTTCTGGCATTCCAAATGAGAAAATTCCTAGGAGGAGGCTCTAGTTTTTGAGGCTAACTTCATCTGCCTGGAGTGTAATTTCATTTTCTAGAGAATTCAGTAGGTAATTTCACAAGAAAGCATCCCTGCTCTAACTGACTCATTTTTCTTTCCTATGATCTATGATTGGGAAGGTCTGGCATATCTGACCCAATTTAACTAGCTATTAGAAACTATCCCTTTTTCACTGAAGGCCAAGTGACACGAAGTATTTAGCAGGTTAATAGTGTTTCCCTGATAACTTATGGTTCTCAGGAAGTGCCGAATCAGTTTTATTGATGTAGATATAGGCTCACCATTTATTTCTCTGGTTGCAATAGAGACAGAAGAGACTCTGGCTTGGTTCTGAGTAGGAATATTAAGACACATGGTGCTTTGTTCCCAAGATGTTTCTGATTTGTTTTGTCTAAGTAAGCCAAACCTCAGTAAAGGGTTGCTTTTTGATTTTTGTGGGCTACTCATCTGGCTGGAGTTGTGGAAGGTGGCAATCCATGATTTACAAGAAATGTGTTCTGCTTCTGGAGATGGAAAATGTACATTTCCCACATTTATTGCTCATTTTATATTTTTATCAGGAAACAAAAACATAGCCAGGAAGTATGTTCTTAGGCTGGGTGTGGTAGAGCTGACTGCAAAGATACGACATGAACTGCTTGTTCTTCTTACAGTTTGCTTGTCAGGTTGCCTTCCTTTTAAAAATATATATACTATTCTGTGGAAAGGAAGAGGTGAGGATCATCAAAGTGCAGTGAACATGTAAAGATAAAGAACTTAATTGCAGGAACCTGTATCTGCCAAAAATTGACCTGGTATTTCAACACATTCAAATCCTTCTATTGTTATCTATTACTTTTCTTGAGTGTTTGGTGATTTTCTTGCCCTGAGATACTGATGGCTTGGGAGGGAATAATGCTCATCTGTACACAGAGCCTATATAGTCAGCTCTTTTCCTGGCAAAATTTCCTGACTGTTTTTGGCAGTATTTCTTTAAATCTGCTTCCTAACAGCAAAAAAATCTCAAGGCAGCTCTAATGAAATTGGGAACCACATTAGTGTAGAAGTCCTACACCTGAGGTTCTCTCTCTTTTAATAGTGGAATTTAGATGCTGGTTTCTTATTCGGGTACCTATCTCAGTCTTGCTGGAGAAGAGTAAAACATCTTTGGCTGTGTTTTCTTGTGTCTGTTTTCAGCTTTTGTCATTGAGGCTGTCTCAATAAATTTTTGTTTTCCCTGGTAATCCTCACTTAGCTCTGAAAATGTGATCTAGGCTGTTCTGAGAAAGTGCTGTACTAACCAACCTGTACTTCACACGTGTTTTTCCCCTTACTTTCTGGTGAAATTTTTCCCTTCTCCTTTACTAGTCAGAAGGCCTGAGGGAAAGATGACTAAGGTGGTGCTTTAGATTTAGAAGGGGGAGCAGACAATTCAAAGAAGTTGCACATTGCTTCTGTAGACATGTCTGGGCTGCAAAACAGACTGAAGAGTCTGAATGAACTGCCCTGTGGATGCAGTGCAGAGATGCTTTTGCATGTGCTTAATGAAAGCTTGTAGCTCAGATGGTCTGGGCCACATAGGTGACCTTTTAGTACCCCAGTGGGTACCATCTTTTTCTAAGGTAGGTCATGGTATCAAATGTTGTGTGTTGGCCCCAAATAAAAGATTTCCTCAGCAGTGCTGAGTTCTTTCCATAGGCTCAACCTGGGAGAGAGGTGGAACTTGGGTCATTTCAGTCCATGGCTCCTTAGGACAGCCTTGAGTCAATCTTTGAGGCTATTTGGGAGAGCCCAGAGCTGCCCCGTAATCTTCAGAGCCAGGCTTGCCATAAAAAAGGACAGGGACTCTGTATACACTGCTATGCATGGCTAGCCAATAAGCCATGAAGAGCTGAGCATGTACATCTTATTGTTTATCCACAGGCAGAATACAGGCTTTTGCCCAAGAACTTTCACTCCACTAAAAACATCCCATTAAGTGCTGCCAATAAATTTGGCATTTCTATAAGAAGAATTGGAAGTTTGAGGTCATGGTGATGAAAAATCCTGAGAAGTGCTTACAGTGCTACCTGTGTCCTTTGCACTGTGCTGCAGTTGGATGGATATGGTGTAGGAGTAAGAACTGGGTCACCAGGGGCAGCCCACGTTCATTTTGAGGGGAAATGTTTTAGGAGAAGTTTGAGAAAAAAACATCAAGATAGTAGCATGATATTATCATTATTCATCAGTAGATTTCCAGGTGGCTTCAAAAGCCGGTAGTAATCACTAGCCCCATCGGCTAGATAAGAAACTCAAAGCAGGGAGAAGGAAAGAAGCTCATCTGAAGAGACTCAAAGAACTACAGGAGCTCCATCCAAAGGCTGTGCAGGCTTGCAATTATCCTTCTAGATGCCTGCTCTTTCTAAATTAGCCAAATAATGAGTAATGACTGATCTATTGGTCATTCATGATCCTCCTGTAGGCCATTCATGTTCTCCTGTGTTTTGTGTGCTCATTTTGGAGACCCTGCCTGTAATATTGCTTTTGCTTATTACTAGGATTACCAGGGTGTTTGGAGCAGCCATTGGACAATGCCTCAAATATGAACTTTTTCACCTGAAAAATTTAGTCTTTCTAAGCCCTGATTGCTGGAACAGGAAGAGAAAAAGCAGACTCGGACAAGGAAAAAATGCACCAGAGAAAATTGAGTGTGTTATGATGGAAGGGTGCTCTGAGCTATGCCCATGACTCCAGTCTCACTGCATTTTGTGAACACTTGAGGCAAAACTAGGGGGAACCTTTTTTAAATGAGGCAAAATCATATAAAGACATTTTGAAAAGCTGGTCATGAAACATGGTTGGTCATCCATGGATTTAAAAAATCAAAAGGAGAGATGAGTCAAATTGAGGAATAAGCATTTGTCTAAGTGCTTTGAGCTTTTAACAGCTCTTAAGCCATCACCATGAATGATCTGGTGGAGCTATATGAAATAAGTCTTCCTACTGAGATAGAGGTGTGGAGATTAAGCTCAGGACATGGATGATTCATCAGGAAGTAACTATGTCCCTGGGTCAGCTGCTCTGATGCTTGGGATAGATGGACCTCTCTTAACAAAAATAAACATGGGAGGGAAAAAGAAAGTCTTTGAAAATTAGCAGATGGGACAGGATGCTTTAGTGCCTTATTTTTTATTTATTTTTTATTTTTACACAGCTTTTATCCACTTCTGTTCTAGCCTCTGGCTCTAGTCTCAGGCTGGTATGGTTATTCATTTTCTCAAACTTTCTCACACATGTCTATGAATAAAAAACATGCATATGTAGAGTAAGTTTATAATATAGATCAATTTATTTTTGTATTCTGTATGAGAATTGTATGTATATATATGCATGCAAAATGTAAGTATGTAAAATGTATTGTGTGGGAGTACATAAGGCAGCAAAACTCTTTCAAGAAGATGAATCTTTTTAGCCAGGAATAATTTATTACTTTAGAAGTTTTTACCTTCTTTTGTTAAAAATAGAAACTTTTCCCGTGCTATTCTCTTCTCAATTTGGAAATTGAATGCACTAGTGAAAACCAAAGCACTATGAAGAATAAAAGTTAGGTTTCTAATGGTTTTCTGTCCTGAGAATGACTGCCAATGTAGACTCTCCCATGTCTAATGAGGATGAAGCACGTTCCTTAGCTGTTGGTGAGGACCCTGATGTCCTCCCTCTTTCTTGATAAATCCATAAATCTTGACATCTGTGTGAGCTAGTAAATGTTGCCATCTCTGCTCTTTGTTTCCATAAGGAGAAGGACCCCAGGAAAGGTGTTTTGCGTGTACATTGTAGCACAGAGTGTTAACACTGCAGAGGGTTGATCTGCCACCTGGAAACCAACACACAATGCACCAGCGAGTTCTAGTCCTCACCCAGGGCTGAAAGCTGTCTGTGCAACCAGTAGTGCAAAGGCAGGTACCTTTGTACTTTATTATAGACACAGTAAACAAAGAATTTTTGTTTCTTCTTCCCTAGCTGTCATAATGAAATTTTATTATTGCAGTGGTTTTATCTGCCTTCTGATGAACATGAATGTCGTTAGCCTCTTTCCCACGCTACCTGCATCCCTGTCTCAAGGTGCGTCTCGATTCCACAGCAGCGTTTCCTTTCCATGCCTGGCGTCCCCGGCTGGAAGAGCAGGCTGGGCTGCGGTGACTGCGGCGAGCCCGGGGACAGCTGCTGGGAGGGGGTGCTGGAGCAAACCTGGCTGCTGGTGTGCCGTCACTGGAGCAGTCTGGGCTCAGCATTGGGATTTTCCAGCTTGGAGGTGGAGAGCAGTGGGGTAGATGTGCACTTCTGGCTCTGGACACTGGGCATGAGTGGGTGAGAGGTATTCATGCTGCAGGGACAACAGCAGTCACCTCCTGTTTGTCTGAGCTGGACAGAGCAGGGGAACCAGGAACATGGCTATTAGCTTTATGTGCTTTCCAGGAAGGTGCTGTAAAGATGCAGCAAGAGCTGTGGGGAAGACAGCCTGCTCCTTCTGCCTTCAAACTCCCAGGTTGATGCCTGGACTCCTGTTTCCCTGCTCCCATGGGAAGATGGTCCTTTGCTCCCCAGGCAAGAGCTCGGTTGTCACTCTGTAGTTGGGGCTGCAGCTATGAAGATTTCTTGCCCCTCCCTCATGCTGCCTGTGCTCTGCAAGCCCAGCAACGGCACTTTCCTTCAGGAATCTACTGGTGGCTGCTGCCTTCCCCAAATCTTGTGGCCATTCCCACCCTGTCCACCCCATAGTGGTGTGGATCTTGTGATCACCTCTGCCCCAAGAGCTCTTGTTTGAGATGCTGGGTGCAGGGACAAGTGCAATAGGGGCCCTACTTCAAAAAGATGTGTCTTCCCTGATCACTGCCTTGATATCTTCCTAAAGGCCTCCTGGCGCATATGGATATTCAGGAAAGATTTGAATAAGGAGAGGGAGGAGGCCTGACAGCTCCATCTGGGACTCCATCAGCTGTTCACCATTTGTGTACAGACTTTATGTGCTGCTGTGGCATTGTCCTTGTTATCATGCTGGTGGCTCTGGTTCTTGCTCTGCCTGTTTATTTTTATTCCATTGTTGAATTTACTGCTCCTGAACTCTTTATTCTTGTTGGCTCCTGATAAATTACTGTCTCTTATTAGCCTTAAATGACTTCCTCTTAACAACCTTTAATTATTTGCTGCCATCATATCTTGGTGCCACATCCTCTTAATTAGTGTTGCCGTACTAGTAGAGACTTTTCTGTGCCTTTGTTAAATCCATTAGCTTTGCTTCTGGCTTATCTTGGCCATGCTCTCATCTTTTCCTACTCCTGCTTCCCCATCCACTTGTATCTTGCATTGATACTATGGATCATCCTTCCTGTCTTTCCTGTTAGCCTTTATGGTCCCACTGCAACCCTCTGGCCTTGTCCTGTGCCACTAGGTCCTTCTTGCTTTGTTCTTTCACAGCCTACATTATACCTGCCTTTTTTGGGCACATGAGAGTGTTGGTCAATTTATTTTATTTTTTTCTTTTCTATTTGCTTTTATGCATTCTTTGATGTCCTCTGTCTGTCCAGCTTCCCCCATTCCTCTTATTTCTTGCTTTGAGAGTGGTTTTGGTTTATTTTCTCTGCTGGTGTCCCTATTCCTTTGGTGGGATACACTTTGCAACTTTCTCCTCCCCTTTTCTCACAAACTTATTTTTGAGAACTGTTTTTTTTTTCTCAAGACTAGTTCCAATGACTCTTTGGTGACCCTTTTCTTGAACAGCTCCCAAAAGCCTCTATCTTATTGTATTCAGTCCATCACATCTAGCTCTGGTACTTGTTTACCATAGAATTATGGAATGCTTTGGATTGGAAGGGACTTTATGGGTCATCTAGTTCCAGCCACTGTACCATAGGCAAGAACAACTTCCACTAGACAGAGCTGCTCAGAGCCCCATCCAACCTGGCCTTTCCCCCCATCTTCTGCTCAGGCTCCTACTTGGAGCACTGTTTCTGTGCTCAGGCAGTCAGATCCTGCCTTTCCTGCTGCCTTTGAGTGTTCCATCTCTATGGAGCTTAGGCTTACCAATTTGCTACAGCATTCAGTGTCCATCACCAGTCTGCATTGTGCCTTGTGTTGCTGTTCCCAGAACTGAATCAATTTCCAGCCTTACCACTGTATCCATCTTCTCTCCTGACTGTTTTCTAACTTCTGCAAATCCTACCAGCTTTCCTTTGTAGTGCTACCAGCACATTTCCTTTTGTGTTGCCTACTACTAAAATGTTGGCTGTGGAAAAGGCAAATTGAAACTTAGGGAGACTAGAAGAGGAAGGAAAAGTGGCCAAACCTAGAAACAGATAAACCTCGTTGATGAGCCTAGAATTAATCTATTCTCCTACCTTAGTCTCTTTTTCAAATTTCTCTGGTCATAACCCACAGCTGAAATGTTGAGTGCCTGCTTCTCTCCCTCATGAGCTGGTGCCAGCAGTCCTGCAGCCCCTGTGCCTCTCTGTTCACCCATATTGAAAGCTGGCACAGCCTGCAGCTCACCCTCCTGCCCACCCTGCACGTGGGGCTTTGTCCAGAACAGCCATCCTGCCTCTCAGCACAGGGGCCAGCAATTTCCATAGTGTTTCCTTTTCTTTCCCGAAACTGGAGCACGAAGATTTCCAGCTGCTGTCTATGTTTCCCCAGAAGTGTTTTCTTTGCTGTGCCTAGGCCATGTGTCTCATCAATGCACTTGACAGAGGCTGGTGAGGCCAGGGTGTTTTGCTGGTACTGGGGAGACATCTGCAAAGCAACTTTCTTCAAGAGCCTCATTCTCCCCAGCCAGTGCTGTCAGTTCTCAGGACCTGTCTGCTTGCTCCAAGCTTTCAGCAAGATTGCGGGAATGACTCTGTCTGTGTAAGTCATTAGTTTAACTAATATTGTATCTCTTTATTGTAAAAACCTTCTTTGAGGTTGATTAATGAGGAGTGGGAGGAGATAAAATGAACTCTGGTTTTGCAGGTGAAACACCATTCCTTTAAAACAAAATTCTTGTAATGTTAAAAAAAATTAAACCCACTTAAAAGAAACCTCTACTTCTTCCTGTGGGGAGACTATTTCCCACAGAAAGTTGTACCTTATCCCCCTGTTCCTTTTTTTTAAAGCAAGATCCCTGCATGTTCATATCTGCCAATCTTCAGTCTTTCTTTTAACAAAGTGATAACATCTTGGATCACCAGGATGTAAGCCAATGGCTTGTCCCTTCAAAATACATCAGGTGCATAACATATGGAGACGCTGTGATATCTCTGAGTGGGGGACACAGTTTCTGACTTCCCTTCTGTAGTGCCGTGGCAGCTTCCAGCTCCTGCCACATCTCACAAGGCCTCTTGCACAATGTGTTGTTGACTCAACAATAAATCTCAGCAGACTTTCGAGATGTCCATGTGAAAATTACTCTCTGTGTGAAGAAACATGCCTGAGAGCGAGTTGGTGCCCAGCTCACCCTGTGGTACCCCAGCTGTACTGCAGGAGGGGAGGTTGCTGTTGACAGGGACATCCCAGTGTGCTGCTGTGTGGGGGATGGCACAGCCCCTCTCTGCCCAAAAACACCATCTTCTGCCAAGGCTGGCAGAGACCTGGCACACTGCAGCAAGCCCGGGAAGAGCTTCCTTAGGTGTGGCTCCTGACTGTCATGTCCTTATCAGAAAGCCGTGGGGAAGTTTGTGTTAGGCCTATTCTCTTGCTAAACAGAAGGTCAGCTTCCCAAGTCTGTCAGCTCAGCTGGAAACTTCATTCCAAGTGGAGGTGCCTTAGGGGAAAAGCAGCTCATGTAGCCTTCCTTGTATCCTGTTTCTAATACCACCAGCCTCTTTTGGTGCATAGCTCAACAGCACCTTGGCAGTGCCAAGTGTAAGTGCCTGCTTGGCTCTTACAGACTCTCACAATGCAGTCAGTGTTCTACAGTTGTGTTAAAGATGGCCTTTTGCTTTTTTTCCACTAGATATGCTAACCAGAAAATAAGGCCCTACTAATCAGATTTGGAAATATCTGGTCATTTTGATTGTATGATACAGAATGGCCTTGAAAACAACCCTGGAGCATCAGTGTAGGATGCTCTTTTCCAGAGGTGCCTCGAGCTGGTTGGAGTGAGGATGGGTTGTGAGACTGATCCTTTAACCACAGAAGTGGAGACTGGGCTGCTCAGCAGAAGATAGATGAATTTGCTCCAAAAAATGTGTGTTTGGCTGCAGCCCAGTGGCTGTGTGGCTTGGCACAGTGTGTGCAGGGATGGGCGAGGAGCAGGAGGGGCAGGCGTGGGGGGATAGGCCTTGGCACCAGGCCAGAGCGAGCACGCCTGCTCCCATGGGAGCGGGTGGGAGGTGATGGGAACCTGGGAGTTCTTGGTGGCATGGCTCAGCTTGCTCTCTTCTGCCCTGCCAGGCTGGGGCCCTGTGCTGCATAACCCTGTTCCATGTTTTCTTTTTTGCTTTTCTTTGCTTTCTGGTGAGCTAAACCCTGTTTTGGAGGGGGAGAGAGAGAGTGATGCAAGTGAAAGAGAACTTCATCAGTGGGGAAGGCAGAGACTCGTTCTTAAAATCTTCTTTTGTCTTCCCCTTTCCTACTCTCAGAAGAACAGCAAAGCACTTCCTGTGTCCATGCAGGAGCTTGCCTGGGATGCTGGCACCAGGAGGATGCTCTCAGACCCCAAGGTGCTCTCTTGCAAAGCTGTCCATGGAAATGTGTGTATGAGTGTGTGGGGAGGGCCAAAACACAAAAGCATCCTGTTAGTTCTGTAAGGGAAAGCTCATCCTCACACACAGCCCAGCCTGGAGCAGTGTGCAAATTCCTGAGGCAGGCACAGGGATAGAGGTCTGCATGATGGGGATTGAGTTTGGTGTTAATCATCACAACAACACAGTAGACTCCCAGTGTCTCTAGTGTAGGATTTTGGAAGAGTGACTCTCTGGGTGCTATCAGAAGACATGTAAATGCATGTAGAGCCAGCTCATGCACCCAGCAGGGAACAAGCCCTCCCTTAAGGAAGGAGTGGGTGGGCCTGTTAGCTGTCTGGGCCTGAGAGGTAGGAAACACCCCAACGTCAGTCCTGGCTCCAGAAGCAGGCAACACAACTGTGTTGGTAATTGAAAGCCATGCGGGGATTTTTGATGGCCCTACCCCACATTGTTCATTCCTGTCTGGAAGGAAAGAGATGTTTTTCTGCAGTGGGTAAAGAGGAGCTGTGATCTCCTCTCCATTTTGGTCACAGCCATTTTACAGCATTAGGAGTGGCACTGGCACAGCCATCCTGGGGGGATGAGAGGCTTTCTTGACATTTCTTTATGCATCAGCTGCCAACTTTGTGGCATAGATGCAGTAAGGGAGTCCTCTCCCAGGAGAAGTCACAGACAGCAGGCGTAGCTCAGTATTGGGCAGAGGGGGGGATGCAGGGGCTCTCCCTCTCTGGGAAAGGCTGCTGAGGTGCTGGGTGCCAGCGGCACCCTCTCCCTTGGGTGCTGGATGCTTGGGCTTGTCTGCTTCCCTTGGCAGCATTCCAGGTGACCACTCCAGTGGTGTACCTGTGTCAGTCATACACAGCTCCTTGTGGGTACCGGTGTTGGTTCAATAATGTGTAGTTTTGGGGAGGGGCATGGTGGCAAGGTGCCAGCACGTGGTTGGGAAAAAAAATCTTGTTTCCCTGAAGACTCTTCCTCTGAACAGAATGCCCTGCCCCTAGTGAAAGACCTGTCTCCACCAAGGAGGGCTTGACACTGATCCATCCAAGGTTTCTAAGCACTGGTGTCAGCTTTTGCAGGACAGAGGACATCAGAGAGTGATGGGAATGGACCCCAGCTCTGACTCCTCCAGGGGTACAGCTTGAGACACTAGGTTTGCCCCATCCTTCCTCATGCCCACTCCCACCCATCGCCACCTCCTTGGCTTTGCCAGGTGCAGTGGCCTCAGTGACTCTTCCCACACACTTTCTTTTTAACCTGGAACCTTTCAATGTCTGCTCGCAGGTTTGATCCCGTGGACAACTTTGGGGTCCCATTAAGAGAGACAAGCCCTGCAGATTGGGGATAGGAGGAAGGTGATGGGTAAAAGAAGCTGGCTGCTGTGCTGCAGTCACCTTCTCCAGGTTGTGTGGTGAGGGGGTTGTGCTGGAGATTGTTTGGCCCATCAAGGCAAAGTGATGCTGGTTCAAGGAGCACTGAAGCCTACTGGATCAGGGTGGTGGTTTGAGATCTGCCCCTGATAAGGTGCAATCCTGAGAGCTTTGTGGGGATGTGAAGGGAGGTGAGGTTTTTTGACTGGCTGTAGGAGGGTGTGGAGGGCCTTCCTTGTGTTTCTGAGAGGTTATAGCAAGTGCAGAGGGTGAACAAAACTAGTCAGTTGGTAAGACAAGGCTATAATTAAAGTCAGCCTCCTGCCTGACCTAATTTCTCTTAAATCTTACATACTTTAAAACTTTACCTTACCCAAGGATAAATGCAAAGTATAGCAATTAGGTTCAGTGAAAAAACAAATGGTAGAAAACTGATCAGTGGTAAAAATCTGATTTGATTTCCTATAAAATGGTGGTCTTCCTGCTACTTCCTTTTGGAAGGAACCTGCTAGGTTTTGCCCTAGCAAAACCTCAGTTGCCAAGGGGACCTTTGCCTCATCTATCACTTAAAAATATAATTTCGCTTTACTTATGACATCCAAAACTTCCAGGCAAGAAAATACTTAGTGTGCATAGAGCTTGCACCAAACAAACCAGGACAATTTCCCCACCATTGCAATTAACTTCCAGTACTATTCCTCACTCTCAAATAGCTGGGATATTCTTGCAAGGTGGCTGAGGCTCACCAGAGCCTTAAGGTCTAGTGCAGGGCTGCTCTGGCCACTTTTCCTACAGCAAATCTCTTTTTTTCTTCGCCAGGAAGGTATTCCATTTTAAGTGTGAGCTCATCTCCCTGAGTAGCAAGGGCACACCTCCACCTGTGAGAGTGGAGGTAGAAGGGGCTCTCCTTGGTGTCCATTTTCTGGAGGCGCAACAGCATAAGATGTGGGATATCCCTTTGGGGAGCTGAGTCAGATGTCCTGGCTGTGTCCCCTCCCTTCTTCTGATACACCCCTGGCTCACTCATGAGCAGGGCAGGCTGAGGAGCAGAAAAGCCCCTGATGCTGTATAAACACTGCTCAGCTGTAACTAAAAAATTCGTGTGCTCTCAACACTGCTTTGGTCACAAATCTGAAAGACAGCACCGTAAGAGCTGCTATGAAGCAAATATCCCAGTCAAAACCTGTATACCTCTTATTTCCAGTGAGGAGGCTAAATCAGAGATTTTATCCTGGTATTTTGTCACAAAAAAACAGAAGATGGATGAGATTTGTAGGTAAAGCCATAATATTTCATTAAACCAAATGCTATAACTGCAAAAAAATAAGATACTCTTTTTGAGATAGGGTAATTCTTTGGTTTTGGGCTGTAGGCATGACAAGTAGGGGTTTTTTTTCCATCTATACAAATTAGCTTAAAAAAATATGAATTTGCAATTGTGCACTCAAAGCAGGTGACTGTCTTTGTCCTGCTGAGGCTACAATGAGATATGAAGTATAAAAGCAACACCTGAAGAGGAGGAGACCTGCATGTATACAGTGAGCATATAAATCAGGTCAAAGAAATGAACAAATTAACCTGTCAAATTCAATAACTCAACATGGCATGTAATCCAAAGTTCAACTTTGTATAGGCTTTTATTGTTTGCTCAGGATCAACTGCGCCAGTACCCTGCTGCTGTTTGTGTTTCTTTTGAGTGTTTTAGTGGTGTTATTCCAAAGAAGTAATAAGACTTCAAGAACTGGACTTTGGGTTTACTCTGTTTGTGCTTGGGAATTGAAATTTTTTAATGGAATTTGTCTTTATCACC